AATCGTATTGACGACACATATTTGTAATTGGATTATAAGAGGAGTTGTTGTTTTTATAAACTTGCAAAGCAAATACCCTATGAGTGAGATTACGCGATCTAAATCTAATATTAAAACTAAGGGTTGAGGTAAGAAACGGTGAGTCGAGGAGTGAATGTACGATTATTTATAAGTAAATTAACTGATGATATTTGCGCCAGGATTCTAGGAAAGAAATTTTATACCTTTCTAATTTCATCTCGTAAGATTTATATTTACGACCTAAATTAAGCCTGAAACTGAGAATATTGAGAATCTTTCTTTGAACTGCTTCAATACGCTCAGCGTGTACATTGTAATGAGGAGACCAAACGATTGAAGCATATTCTAATTTGCTTCTCACTAATGAGAAGTATAGGTATAGCAGAGTTGACTGATTGGTGAATTCTTTAGTGCAACGTGAAATAAAACAAAGGAGTTGATGGCAATGGGAAATCAAATAGTCGTAGTGTGGACGAAATGTAAGACCCTCATCGAAATACACACCAAGGCCCCTAATAACAGGTGTACGTTTTAGTATAGAACCACCGATATGGTAATCAAAAATGAGTTTATTTTTAAAAGAATCAAAGAATACAACATAACACTTGCTAGAGTTGATAAACATATGGTTGTTTACCTGGGTTTACTTAATAATAAACAAGGTTTTTGGGTATTGTCCAAATAATAATAATAATAAGTTCTATTTAGGGATTTATCCACTCATTTACTAACTAACCTAAGTGTATTCAATGCTTGCTGGGTAATGTTAGATTAATTACTGAAATCAAAAACTGTACAAGAAACGATTTTATGGCGCTTTCCACGGCCAACTAACAATCGCAAGCAAAAAACATTGTTTCCTCCCCCATCATTTATAACCGAAACAACTGGGTCTGTTCTCGAAAAAAAAGAAAATATCTTTCTATACTTGCGGATTACAAAAAAAAAGCTTTAAGGGTTCTACACTTTTTAAAATATAGGAATTTTCCCAAAATGTGGCACTATCTAGGTAGATTAATAAATATAAAATAATAGAACACAGGAAAAAAACTGACACTTGTCCAGATTTTATATTATTAGAGTATGCCAAATTAAAAGAATTAATAAACTGACTTGCAAATTAACGATTACCGTATGTTGAATTCGAGTGTCTTGTAAATTGAACACCAAATTGTATGCGAGAAACTGATACTAGGCATTGACGAATATTTACAAATTCCTTGAAAAACGTTGTTAGGTATTTAGTTAAAATAATTATTATTTCTCAGACATCAGAAGAAGAGCTGAAAGTGGTTACGATAAACTATTTGTGAAAAAAGATAAAACCCTCAAACAAGGTAAGTTTTTTATCTTGTTTCATGGCAGTGTATATCAATTAGTACGAAATCAATGGCTTCCAATGTAATAACTACTTCATTGGTTTATAATTCTCAAGTTTGAGTGGTCTAGGGGATCCAGATTGAGAGGAGACTCCCCTTGTGGGGAGATGCCATCCACCTGGAATATCTCTAGAGGCACTCCCCAATTCTTGGCTTGAGGTCCCCTTAGGATCTGGCCGTCCCCAAACCCGTTGACGCTGTAAAGGTCATCTGCGACCAACAGCAAATGCACTAAAAAAAGAGATTTATAACAGAAATGGCGGGTATAATTAGCGATCGAGCTTAACAAATTTTGTCTCTTCAAATCTATTCAGTTTAATCAACCTCTGGATACTCAGGCCCGTATTACAGAAGGACAACTAAGTGTTGATCTTTACTTGAGTACAGCGAGAGAGGGATATCGCTATGTGCTATATATGACATCCCTTTCTAACTGTGCTCAAGACTAGATCAATCACTGAGAATCATTCTATAATACGGGCCTCAATGTCGCGCGTGTTGAACCGCTTGATTTGCAAAGTTTACCGCGTATTCCTATGGTTGTTTTCTGTGATGTTTATCTATTTTTTTATAAGAGCAGAAACAAAGTACCACACCCCATCTGATGTTGACTGCAAGTGGAGTCCAGTCGCAACCATAGATGATGCGGTAGCAAGTGTCCATCCATATTTACCTTGCCCGGTTGGACCCAATCTCCTACCCAGCGGAGAACTGGAACCCTACTCACCAGCAGAAACATTACACCAGAAAAGGTAGAGTTATTTTACTCTATTCTCCTGTAAGGTGGATTTTGCTACCCCAGACGGGTGCTCCAACTCGTACTCCTATAGCTATTACAACATTAGTTTCAATCTTCTTTTTACACAACTGACAAAAAGGTGTTGCATGGATAGGTACTAAAAATATATAGATACCTACTACGACATATTTCCTATATGTATAAAAAATAATAAAAAAAAAACTCTAGAAGAATATTCACCTTTATCGAATTAAACAAGAGCTATTATTTTTGTTAGGGAGTTACTTTAACGAGGCTCAAATGCCTTTTGCAAAAGTTTTTATTTCGACAACAAAAGGATTCCGCAGTCGCTTATGAAGATAACTCGATTTACTTAACTAAGTTAGCAACTCGGCGGATAACACGACAAGTAATGTTACTTGTTTCTAAAGAAATCTGAGCGTCGGCTATTTGTAAATTTAACTTAAACAAAATGGATGACTGTGTTCTCAGGTTAGGCCTGAAATGATTACTAGAGTATGAAGAAAAATAAATTTCTGAACTTGTTGTGTTCCTTGTTAAAACGATCAAAGGGTAAAGGGGTAAAGGGTTCAGAGGCCCAAGCACAAACTTTGATAGCTCCGTAATCACATCGCATCGTCAAAGTTTATATGACAACCAAGCAGCGCCCCTACCGGAAGTAAGAACATACTAGCTCCTTCCATACAAAAATTTACGATGACGATACTAATAATAATAATATTTTTTGTTGTACACGTAACTGTTGTACACCATACAAGACACACTAGTAAATTTAAACATGATAGACAGAACGTATTGTCGTACGTTGTATCGTACGAACGTATATATTGCTAGGCAGCAATCTCTTCCAGGCAACCCATAATACTACTATTACGTATAGCTGACAAAGTTCGTAATTAGGGTACCGATGCCAAAGACTATAGAAGTATATATTTAAACCTCCTCCCGAAAAATAAAAGAGGATTAGGTATATCTTTTGTCTCTGTTCATTGAATTATAAATGGCACTTGAGTGATACGAACAAAACGGCATAACTAGTCTAAGCTTATTCCTTGTTTATTAAAAAGGGACCGGTGTCCATTTGTATAAGCTCTATCAGCCTGTTCTATCTCAAGAATCATAACAGGTAGATGATGAACATTTTAACAGTATGCGTATTTCTGTTGATGCTATGCCAAATTAATAAAAAATAAATAAAAAAGAGTGATTTTGTTAGAACTTAACATTAGCTGAATTCCATTTAAAGAATGGAACCCTTAAATAGGGAATACCCTATTTGTCAAATATGACATATGTGTTTAGAATGAATGTTGGCAGGGGTTTTTACTATTTTTTCTAAAAACCCACGAAAAAGATAATAGTTTTCTTATCTATTGTCACGTGACCCAAAACGCTTGGGATTGGCGAAGCCTAAAATGAAGTCACACGCAAGTAAACTTCCGGTTAAAGTGACATTACATTGTATCGTTTGACGTTTTAAAAACAGTCGTGTGACGTCACACACTAGTAAGACACCATATTGTCTAGAAAAACGTTTTCGCGGCAATTCGAAAATGGAGTTTTTGATTTGGTTATTTTTACTGAAATACACAGAATCCACTTTTTACGGACTCCATAAACATTAGACAATAACGTGAGATCGTTTTCTAAAACTTGTCAAATACCCTATTGCATTATTCTACTTCTATTCTATTACTTATCAAGGTTTGAAGTACTGCGGCGATCTACCCTGAAGGGATAGACCCTGGGAGCGTAGTTTTATCAGATGGAAAACAACTAATATGTTTAACTCTTTTATTTTATTAGAAATCAAGGCGAATAAAATAATTATAGCTTAATATGTAACCATATGTTGTGGTGCCTGATTTCTATCTTCTGGAATCTCCTATCAAACAACATAAGATTCCCAATTTCAAATCTTTAAAATTCATGACATTACCTTTTTAATTTCAGTTTTTACCTAAACAAAGAGTTTACCTAAACAAGGAGGCTGTAACGCAACGGACGTTACAGTACCTACTGCAGTAAAATACACCTATTTTTGAGTTGTTGATTTACCAAATAAATAAATATAAACATACCGACCTAATTGAAAACCTCCTCCTTATTGAAGTTGGTTAAAATAAAAGAATCCATTTTCTTTAGGTACTTTAAAAACAAATATAAGAAAAAACAGCTACTAATGAGTTACTTCTAGTAATGAACTAAGGCACTAAGTTTTAGGAATAAAATTTTTATTACAAGCTTTTTTACTGGAAATGTATAAATAAGGCAAGATATTTGATTAGTATTACCAATAACTTGCTATAAGACTAGGAAAGCTTCATACTTATTATATATTGGAATGTTTTCAATTGGTAACCTAAATAATATTCTCACATTCAAACTGTAATAATGTTTATGAACGGTCGATAAACGGCAGCAGCGGATATTATTTCTGGAAAATTCAATACAAATTTATAAATATCATGTGAATAAATTGTTTGTACTCATGTTTCCAAAAAATCTTGAGGATTTAATTTCGTTTTCGTAAGAAAGGCAGAAACAGAATGTGGTTTCGTATCGTGACGCGTCAGAAGCTTATCGGTTTCATATATTTAGTACTATAAAAATGGGCTTCTATCTATACTAAATACATGAAAACGAAACGCTTTTGTCGCGTCACAACACAATAATCTGTTTTTGCCTTTACTAACAACTACTTGACTACTTAACTTTATTTGCAAAATTTTATTATATTATAAAATACTTTATCCTTCTTTTACTTTTCTAATTTTTTATTTAAGTTCCTTGTTTATCTGAGAAACAAGTATTAGATAGGTAAGTAGGTATGTACTCACGTGAAAAGCTCCCCTTATAAGCGGCCCCGCTTGCCCGACGTACAAAGTGGAAGCCGAATCGAAGACCAATTCCATCGGATTTCGCTTCACCGGCACACTGTCGAACTCGTGACAATTGAGGAAAAGCGTCACGTTATCCGTAGTCACTCTCAAGGCGAACCGGCTCCATTTTTTCGAAAAGGACGGCACCACAAAGGACGCTATCGTCTGCGATAACGCGTATATGTTCGCATCGGTGTACAACAAAGATATGTTTGTCAATCCTGGCCCGGAGGGTATAAGCTGCACGCCCAATTGTACGACGGTTTCCAGCGGGTTGACCACGGAGAACAGAAATCCGCCATCTTTGTTTGCCGGCCGAACAGTGGCCGTTATGGAAAATTCCGAATACAATTTCTCCGGCATGAATAGACGGTACGGCGATTTGATATCGGAGCCCGGCTTTAAGCCGTACGCAGGGAAACCGTCTAATCCCTCATCGAAGTATTGGGTTTTAGGGTTGCTGAATGGCACGCCGATCGCATGAAGCAGGTCGTATTCCGGGATGTCTGTGGAAAAAATGTACACATTGATTACTCGCATTGTGGTAAAGTATGATCATCAAAACTAAGTCTAAGCAACATGTTGTACGGTTTTGAACGATTTTTACTATTCTTAGTAATCTTTGTACTATCTATAGGTATCTAAAACAAAGTTGTGTTAGTTACAACACTTATAATTTGAGAAAAGCTAAACCGATTTTAATGAGCACTGATTTTTGGATTTCTTTCCGCCCCGAATAACAGATTTATCTAATAAATTAAAGGAAAAAAATAAGGCAAATAATAAGTTTAGAAATAGATTACGTTTGTTACTCTGCCATCTGTTGCAATTGACTGCTCACGTGACGCATGTGTATTGTTTAATTGTATTGGGATTCACTGCAAACCAGTAACATAATATATAATCTAAAACAGATATTATTTTACCAAATTTTTAAAGAAAATTTTTAAAGAAAATATTGATAGGAATTATGCTGATGCTTTTGTAAGAAGCCGATGGATATCGATCACCATTATTGAATGAGGTAGATACAAGGAGTTTATATACTTAACGGGGTAGATATTCTTATCAACGTTCTAATTTCAATATGACTTTCGGATCAACTTTTGAACTCCACCGCCTTGTTACATAATGTTGCCTAAAGTTAAACACGGCCTAAAACTGTTGAGTCATTTTTGTTTTCTCAAAAGAAGACATAGAGCATTATGTTTAAACTAAGACTAACTTTAGTCCGCGTTTTGGAATGAGATCGTGGTGGCTTCTAAGAGGAGGCTCTATACAAGCATGATGTGATGATAATTTTTATTTTTCACTACTTAAAAGCCTGAGTAATATCACCCTTTTTTTTCTTGCTTAATAGGCAAGGCATTTGACCACAATATCATTTAATGAAAAGCGATGATGAGGCCTAAGATGGTACACGCCTGCCTAGAAGATGCCTGTTCGCTCTGGCCTTGAATCTTACTAAGTATAGGTGCCTGGCTGGCAATTTCCCTTTTATATTTCGTAAAATAACCTAACTCGATATGTGTACAGTTTGTAATTAAGGAGTCCTTCCAAACAATTAAAGAATCATCAAAATTCGTCTCTTTACCTTGAGATATGCGCAAACAACAGTAAAAAATATAATTGAGAATCTTCTCCTTTTTGAAGTCGGTTAAGAATAGGCACAAAGAAACAAACTTTGATCCGATATCACAAACCATAAGCCAACTTTATCGTAAGAGTAAAATGGTTCTGATTATCTCGCGAAGTCATAAAGTGTCTGTGCTACGAGTATTTCGTGCGTGATGTAATAATCCTGGTGATTTCGCTAAATACAGCTCCACACGCTTTCCTAATCGGAAATATTTTTTGTAGCTTCGTTAAGAAGTCTTTCTGCCTATTCATCCATACAAAGTTAAATTGTGTCTGTCTCTCTGTTACCTCTTCACGTTTGAGACCCGGGAATAGATAGTTATCTCAGAATAATCCCATAAGGGAGTAAAAAGAAAGATTGTTTTGCACCTATGGGAGACCAACTTTTGCACGCAGTCGAAATGCGAAAAATACTGTCTCTTAACATGTTTTTTAGTCAAAACCGACGCACTAACTTTTGATTATTAATGATTGATGAAATGATTTATTAATATACTATTACTAATAACATAGGATAAGCCCGACGTAGTTACTACCTTGTACTAATAATTATGGATGTTTATCTGAAATAAATGATTATTATTATTAATATTTATGAAATTGATGATTGATTGAGTTTTGGTATATAGGTGAAACGTGATCAAATGTAAGTACGAGCGTGAATGCTCAAACTGTGAATACATTATTTCAATAGAGTTTGTTCTTTAGAAATTAATCGACATCAAGCTCGAAAACCATCAAGTATTGCCTTCTTAGTAGCGCCAATCTCAGTGTTGCCAGATCCATTTTTTTAATACAGGAGATGTACCAATAAAATCCGTAAGATGTATAGCGAATATAAACGGAAACCCGATCGCTTTATAATGGCGTAGTGGAGTTAACTGAAGACCTAATCATATGATTGAATTTTTAATTCGGTACCTCCACGCGGTAAAGGGTCCTGATATTCGGACAGATGGACAACAAAGTGATCTTATGAAGGTTACGTTTTTTCCCTTTGTGTTTCTGAACTCTAAAAAAGAGAGCAATCACGGAAAATCGATGTTCAGCCCTGAGCATAAAACTGTTTTTCCCATAGTATGTAGAATGTACTTTTCATTTAAAATGTTTTCTGCGGCAGACGATTAACTCATTCGTCGTGCCGGCTTTGTGCTGTAAATAGCGCAGTTAAAACGTTTGCGGCACTCTCATACGATATGAAATGTATATACAGATTTTATAGAAGTGTGGCGCAAAAATAAATTAATAATGATGATTAAAAAGAAAATTTGCGCCTAACATCTGATAAATGTTATCTGGTAAAGTTCTGAACATCGATAAATAAAGCAGAACGTGCTGATATTATTCATAGGTTACTAATATTATTTATTTCAAAGTTACACTGGTATAGTCGATTCTGGTATGATAGTCTAAACCAATTGACAAGTCTATCTTTTTCATTCTCTATACAAATCAAAAGGAAAACTGATCCTTGGTTTTAAGGTTAGAAATCATGCCAGAATTGAAACCAATGTCTATTACAATTTTATACTAAATACAGTGGAAGTGCAATTTAGAATTATTCTATGAAATTTTTTGAATCGTCAACATGTTGTTCCTTCTAATTTTATCAAGCGAATTGGTGAGCATTATTGCAAAATTTAAAGTTTATTTGTATCTCCTGATAGTTTCCTTACAAAAGCATATCATAATAATATCTTATACTTACAAAATCTCATGTTTTCTTTTCCGTTTATCTATATTTACATCGTAAAGCAAGTTAGTTGATTGATCTCTTTAAACGCAACAGGGATTATGTCTACGCACTTCTGATGTAGTTAAATAATACTTCCGTAGATTTATACAAACGGGTCAGATAAAACATTAAATTTAACTGCTTGTTTGACGCCAGTGTTTACAAATGAGTCATGTTAGTGCATGACTAACTTACAAGTACAAATGCATTTATGAATTGGGTCTATAGTGTGAAGTAACCGTGCCTGCTTCTGGGTATAGAACAGAGTTGCCTGAAAAGCGGGATTAAATTTTGTTTTGAAAATCGGGACACTCCCCACCAAAATCTTGCAACGCTGGTATACAATGATAGTTTTCTTTTAACTCATTCTTTCATCATTAACATTTTAATGTCCTCACTGCTGAGACACAAGCCTTCCCTATTGATAGAATAGGGAGAACGCGCCATGGCCCACCACGCGGGCCTAGTGCGGATTGCTGGGTACTAACAACTGTAGATGTACCTTCTGAAGTACGGAAGAGCATAAGATTGTACATTTTGGGTACCAATCCTATGACCGACTTTTGCGAAAGTTACTGTGGGCACTATTCCAACGCGCGGACAAAGAGGTTTGAAGACTCGTTCCATTATCGCACTGTACGCAAACGGAATGTTTTGCCCTCTCCTTGGCCGAGTGGTTTGTACGCCAGGTCTCATGTCTAGACCACAGTAAAATAACACTACTTTAGGTGGTGTTGTGTTTCTGTCGGTGAGTAAGTTTTTTTGACGTGACAACGTCTTAAATTAGGTTGCGGCTGGGAGTCACTTATGAAAAAGTGTAACGCTCGGTAACGTTACGATGAGTCTCTCGTGTTAAGTTTAAGTTTACATGTACAATGTTTTAGTAAACAAAATATATTTCTATAGTTAAAATTTGTGCAATTCTTATTTTCATTCAATTCCTTGTTCCTATTGTGCAATTTAATTATATTCATATCAATAAATATTCTACCGAGAAAAAGACGTTGTCACGTAAAATCTTCGCCCGTAAAACCGACTTTACAGGCAACCATTTTTTTTTCTGCCTTTAGATCGCTTCCAGCGCCGAGTGGCTCGATACGTCGACGACCAGGACACTTCCGATCAGCTTGATCCTTTGGCTTTGTGTAGGGATGTATAGCTTCGCTCTGCATCTTCTATCGCATTTATCACGGTGAGTGTTCTGAGGAATTGTTCGGATTAATTCCAGCTGCTGCATTTCGCCATCGTACATCGCGACAAAAATTTCATCCCCATCATCTTGATGCGTGGCTATCCGGCTAACCGTTCGTTTTTGTCGAAATTTTTTACCACGTACGACAAAACTGTGGAATATATTGTCGCCAGCAGTGTTTCCGGACCAATACGACCCAAAAACCTTCAAAAAAAGAGCGTACTCCTTCCTTAAAGGCCGACATCGCATTTGTGATACTCCTAGTGTTGCAAGTGTTCATGGGCTACGGTAATCGCTTACCATCAGGTGAGCCGTCTGCTCGTATGCCCCCTATAACATAAAAAAAAACACGAGGTAAGGAATTGGGCAAGGGTAGGCAACGGTGCTAGTGATATTTTTTATATCGCAAGCGTCTATAGACTATGGTGGACGCTTTCCACCTACCTATGCTTGTTTGCCACCCTTGTTTGCCTGATTATAGGGGAGACAAAGCACGTGAGTAAATAAATAAATATATATTTCCAACACTCACACCAATTAGCCTAGCCCCAAAGTAAGCGCTGTAAGGCTTGTGTTATGGGATACTAGGGTAACGGATAGAATACATAAACAGTAAGTATATAAGTATATTTATATAGAAATACATATTAAACATCCATGACTGGAGTACAAATGCTCGTATTTATCACACAAACATCCGGTGGGGGCACCGGGATTCGAACCCGAAGCCGGGGACCTGAATGAAACCCAGCGTACAAACCACTCGACCACGGAGGTCGTCTATATTAATAGGCTGATGACGATTTTTAAGTCTTTTTTTTATTCGTTATAATAATAATTTGACTTTATGTTAAAAGCATCCATCGATATTTCTAATTATTATGTTTATAATTATGGAAAGAAAATCAAACTGATGTTTGCATTATTTTCCTCTTATGAAAACGTTTTCAGACAATCAGTACGATTGATTAATAGAACGTTTCTGCGTAAAATCAATAAGGCTTGAATGTATCGATTCACAGTTCAACGACTCCGGAACGATTTGCATTTAGAATTGTCTTCCTTTCCGGTATTTCTGTTTACATCTTTCTTTTGTATTGGAATAAGCTATTTGACAGTATACAAAATAAAGTACCAATTATCTGCACCAGTATATATGAGGAGCTCGATGGCGCGGGAGGTTAGCGCGTTCGGCTGCGATCGTTGAAGTTAAGCAACTTTCGCAATGGTCGGTCATTGGATGGGTGACCAAAAATCTTCTATCTCGAGTTCCTCGGTGCTTCGGAAGGCACGTTAAGCGGTTGGTCCCGGCTACATCCGCAGTCGTTAGCACCCGCCAATCCGCACTTGGCCCAATCTTCCTATTCCATCCATAGAGGAGGCCTGTGCCCCAGCAGTAGGGACATTATTAGGCTGATGATGATTTTTATAATATGCATATTAGCTGCGATTTTACTATTCTTAGAGAACCAATAATTAATAAGTTTTCAAAAACAATCATTAAATAGAAATGATTTTTTGTTCTATGGTCAGTGACCGAAAACGCCTTGGATTGGCGAAGACTAAAATGACGTCGTACGCTAGCAAAATTCCGATCAAAGTGACATTTGTAATGGTAACTTACGTAGCATGTTAATCAACTTTTAATTAAATACGTAATAATATTGCCAAAACAGACTTTGGAGTAATGTTACCAACTCCAAAAAATATTTACCCCAACTAAAATTCAAAGGACAATCACAACATGACCCTCTGTTTGCCACTTAGCTTAGAATCTCGTAGACCACCTAAATATCTTTTATTGATAAGCCCATCTTTGCTTACTAATTATTTTACTTACTTAATACTTTTTACTAATTTTATACAGAGTATAATAAATTATTACAAAAAAAAAACAATTTTGCCTTATCCCTACTACGCTTCAATATTGTAAGTGGTGAAAATAAATAGCAGATTTTTAAATTTACCCAAAAAAAGGAAGAACAGACATGCCTAATAATATTCAATATAATATAACATAACACAAGTGTTCTCATAAGGGAATATTATCACTAACGAATACCACTTTGTACAAGAAATTGCACACGAGAAGATGCCATTGATATGGAAATTCGCAGCGAGTGTAAGTAGGTACGAGCGAAGATGAAGAATTATTCTCACCGCTTTGAAATTTAGATCCGAATAATCCATCGCTGGCGGAGCACAGCCTCGTCAGCAGTAGGAATAGAAGCCAGTGAAATCTGCAATGAAGAGAACAAGGCAATTAAAGCAGATGCTGTAATTTAAATGAACAAAACATTTCATAGCAGAAGTAAAAACTGATTTCTTTAACATTGTGAATTTTATTGAAAACATATTGTTGATTTAACTACAGATAATGAAGAATAAATTCTTTTCATTTTAGTTTTTTTGTTTTCATGAAATTCGTTATATACATTTACTTTTATATACGACCTCCGTGGCCGAGTGGTATGTACCCCGGGTTTCATGGTGTCGCTAACTCGAGGCAGATGTTTGTGTGATGAATACCAGCATTTATACTCCAGTCATTGATGTTAAATATGTATTTTCTATATAAATATACTTATTTATGTATATGTATTCTATCCGTTTCCCTAGCATCCCATTACACAAGCCAGCAGTGCTTACTTTGGTTCGCATAGTGTATATATTCTGTGCTTTGGGGCTAGGCTTATTGGTGTGGGTGTTGGAAATATTTATTTTATATTTATTTACTATTATTTGTTTATATATTCAGTAGATGATAAGTAAGTAATTTCTCTACGCACTATCTTGCTGGATCCAGCATGCGGGACAGCGTTATACACGTAAAAGAGATGGAGATACAGGATCTCTTTCACGTGTGCTGTCCCACAATGCTGGACCCCGCAAGATGGATAGTAGTGTGTAGAGGATTGAAGCCAGCATTCTATAATGTATACAGTAACCAAACGCATTTTTTAATAGTTGCTCTAAAATAGCGAGATTCCTTCTTTAATATGGTATTTTTAATAATTCGTAATTGTAACATTACATATTTCCAATTTTAAAATATTTATTAATAGATAAATAAATGCGTTTAAGAATATTCCAAAGACTATTTTAGACACTATTTATCATTGAGATGCTTCATAAACTATCTGTAGAAGAACTTATCAGATATTTTCCAAAAAATTTAAGGCACTGTTCCCAACGAACACAGAATCTTTCTATGTCAACTTAAATTGCAGTACCAAATGGATAAGCGATCCGTCAATGATCCAAAACGGCGCTAATATCTATAGCTTTTAGAATTGGAAAATCTCCTGATAAATACTTTATTCATGACATCCGAAAGGACCCTGATCTGTGAGAACTTGGGGCGTCGAATTTCCAATTAGATCCATTTAGACGTTCACTGCTCAGAAACGAAAGAAAAATGTCAATTTGCAATTCAGATCCTGTTTGGGAGCTGGGTGAAGAGGGCCTTAATTGGTACGAATATTCGCTTTTTTTCAAAACGCAGACGATCATTGATCAGTCTTCACAAACGTTGTGAATCAAAACATCGATGTAATTGATGAAAAGCGTGTTGCGAAGTCGGAAACTTCTCACTGGATAATAAGACAGCGATTCGTTTACTTAAACGGAGGCAACTGGATTAATGGTTCTTTTTTCGTGTTTGCTTAGGAACAAATAGGAAACGAAGAATTTACGGCAGCTTGTTCGGAGACGATTCGTTGACCAAATTAAACATTTACATTTGTCTGATCAAAATGCCACTGTTTTTAATTATTTAAACGTTTTCCGCAGAACGTGACTATATCTGCCTAGTGCTAAATTTTGTGCATTTTTGAAGTCAAAACTTCTTAAGCGGCGTTGTACACTTTTTTTTTGTATGAGTAAAAAATGTTAAACTCGCGTCAGGTTAAACACGTGAGCATATCGCATCATGACACACAATAAAATTGGAAAGGTTGTTGACTTTCAATAGATTGGACGAAATAGTAATATTTTATTATATCGTATTAAAATAATAAGTCTCTATCTCGAACGTCCACGTGGCAGCTTTATTGCGAAGAAAATGTATTTTTTTACAATAGATGTCGCTAGCTGCGCTTAAATGTGATTCATGTGAGTTGATTTCTTTGCAAAAGATGTCGCTAAGTGCGCTTAAACGTGATTCATGTAAATTGATTTTTCTGAGAGATACACTTTTTTAATGTAATATGAATTGTCATGTTTCTGTACGATAGCGCAATAAACAAATATTGTAGTCTACCACATACTTATAGTACTTTTATACTGATAATTAATGCAATTCGTGCAAAATTATTCCCTAACTATTCCAAAATATCAAAAGTGTACAACATTCATATTTAGGTTTTCACTTCTGCCGGCACACCCGGAGCGCAACCCGTTGTTTTTTTTTCATTAGAAAGCGACATTGTAGGTTAGTAAATATGTCATCAGAAAGTTCAAAAACAGTGTTCAAATTGTTCTGATATCAGGAAATTGTGAAAAATTCAATCAATTACTGTTATGTCACTGGCAAGCAAGATCCAGTATCCTAAAATCTAATTTTCTGTAATATGAGTGTGATATCTGAAACTTACACCACATCAATTTCCTCCCCAAAATTAGCTCATCCATTCATGATCAGTCAAAAACCAGCTCAATTATAACAAAGATAAACAGCACATTCGCATTTAATACATATTAACAAGGGTTTAATTTTATATCTATGTTCCGTTTCTGTGACATTATGGCAACAAATCTCATCTTGAGCATTGTTATTACCATAAATTTTGTATCCGAGTTTTTTAGAAGGCCTCTTTCAGAAGCATTACTGATAAGATTCTTAGATGTTACCCTATTTTATTTTGTAAGATTCCAAACAGTTTTAGTATTCACACGAGATAATTAAAAATAGGTAAAGGAAAGATTAAATTCAACCAATCACTCTAACCGTTCAAAAGACTAAGGTATGAAGCTGCGAACAATTTTTAAAATCCCATTCAAAACTACTTACCAGTTGCGAACTATAGCAGCAAACATCAATAAGCACAGCTTGAAAAGACTCGTGACGCTAATATCCGCTCTCGTGTGTAGTTTATTATATTTCTGACATGTGCAGAAAATTTAATTTTAGCTAGAGAGATTTTCGAAACACAAGGAGAAATAAATAGTTTTCATATTTCTGTCATACTGCACGTTGAAATGCTTATTGAAGTTAACGAGTTTAAACTTAAACTAAAATTGGAGTATAAAGATATAATTTTTCGAATTCCCGTAGGTAGATAATAAGTAATAATAACCTTTTGTTATATTTAAACTGTAGAATTTTTTAATGTCTCGATTTTTTTTAGTAGAAAAACATAATTAGAAAAAAACGGGTCGTTAAATGTTCCTTGGATCCTCGATTAATGTGGATTGGTCGCGTAAATGAAGGCTTCCGTACCATAGTCAATATTTGAAACTAGATCGAGCAAAGTATATAAATCACGTTTGAGATAAACAAACATTATTTACCTGACAGACAAACAGTAGACGTATATTAATTGAACTCCGTTTATCACACCTAGATTAGACAACATGAAATTGTGAGTGTTCATGAAAACTTAGGGTACTGCACCATTGTTTATAATCATAATAAAAGTAATTAAAAAACGCAGAATAAATTACGCGTTCTTTGTTTTATTTTAATATGCCTTTTATTATTTCTCATTATACTACATTATTTCTAATGCGCATTAGACCAATCTTCCTTAGGTGCGGACTGTGGCCTTGCATCATACAAACATTTACCCCAATGGGATTCGAACCCGGGACCTCTAAGTAGGCGTCACTTAGAAACCCTGCGCACATTTGGTTCTTCTGAGTGCGTTGGGACTTCAAAAAGTACAAGGTAAAAGATTTTCAATGCAAGTACTTAGATGTTGTCCACAACTTGACTCAGTTTGTAAAGATCTCCACATACAACCTTCAAATCAACCAACAGTAGGTAGGTATATAAATATAAATATATATATATATTGCATCAAAATACCTAGATAATAAATTAAATAAAGGTGTACCTAGCCATGTGCAGGTACCTTCCTAAAGTTCCCTGTGGCATAAAATCTCACCCCTATGTGAAGCTGCAACAGAGGCGAAGACCTCGGTTATTGGCACCCTGTGTTAATTTCAAAAGTGGCAAGAAGAGGTTTATTATTGTATTTTTTCTAAATCCAAATCTTTTACGGGATTCCACAACATCAAAATATTCCAGCGGATTTGTTGCATACCGTGAATACCACTTTTTAGGACGATATTGGTACAAGTCTTCATAAAGGTAGTCAATAAAATCATGGAAATTGTTCATTACGCAAGGCAAATTTGAATTTACCCCAGAAATAACGTTAAAAGCGCTGTTAAACAAGCTTTGAGGACACCTCAAGGTAGATCGCGACGCACCTCCAGTTCCGACATATGGTGTTACTCGGTAGTAACGAGTCGGTAGTAGTTAAGGACGAGACGAAATAAAAAGAAGTAGATATGATACATTTTTTATTTGAAAATTTAACATGGAATACATTTTTATAAAAAGTATCAGTCAGATACAAAAAAGGCTTCTAGATTTCATTTTATCTTCTGAAGCTTTGAACTCAACAAAACCTTTATTTAACGATGAAAAAAGCTTGTTTACACTTTAATTTGCGTGGATTATAACATCTATGTTGGCGAATTAATGAAGGTAATGCGGACTGCTCATAATTTAGCCTTAAAATTTTTAATTAAAATTAAGGTGTTGTTAGGCTGTTACGAGATTAAATTTCCGAAACCGCGAAGTTAACGAGTCAATTACGATGACATTATTCGTACTTTGGACAGTGCTTAGAAACTTACGAATTAATGAACATAATTAATTCCGTGAACGCGACTATGGAAATTTAAAAAAATAATATATTCAAGTGCAGTAAGGATGTTTTATTGATATCCTTAAATTTCAAAAACCTCTGAAAAACAAAAAGATTAAATATGTTGCACTTTAACTTTATCATAACTACTTACTAATAGTTATACCTAGTTGGTTGATCGTGATTAGAGAGAGAACGAAACAAAAGTTTTTCGACTTCACCTAGCAATTATAATGGAATTGGTAATTTTTGTAATGTTTTGGTGACAGATAACCACAGAGGTAAGTATACTAAGTAGTCCTCATAGTCTATTGACTCTTATGACACCAGAATATCTTATAGCTTACACCTGACATAACTCG